CGTTTGTGAAAAACTTTTAAGGGGGTGTCCAGCACCTGGAGTGCTGGTATCTTCTCAGCCAGCGGCCAAGTAAACAGGGTGACATGAAAATAGGAAGTTTATCTACAGTGAACTCTTTTGCTGACAGTCCTAAAATGAGCCATGGTGAAGAGGGCTTTTCTGTGGAGAAAGGGGGTGCCACTTCAGAGGTATCTTTGACGTGGTAAAAAGAATGGATTAGAAAATACTTGATAAAGAGCAACTTTTGTTCATCCACTCAACCAGTCTTCATAGTGCATCCATTATGTGCCAGCCACTCTTAGGCAGTGGGTACACAGCAGTGAGAAGGCAGAGCTTACCTCAGGAAGCTCAAGAGTGATATTGTATTATGTGACATTATTACATCATTAGCAATGGTTGCCTTGGGGAGTTCCTCAGAGAAGGTGGGAAGAGAGGGAACACACTAGATAGAACTTGATAAGCATCTCCCAAATGATATGATATTCTCCGCCCCCCCCCCAAGGACTTGGGAATTACTGATGTCTTAGGAGAGAGAAGATGGAAAGAACTATACTGCAATATAGGGAAGCAATAACCAGTATTTCCCCATTCATTTAACATGGTTCTGTGAATACAAAGATAAATGATTCATGGTATCTAACCTTAAAATGATGTCTTAGTGCATTTTCTGTGACTATAGCAGAATAATGGAGACAGGGTGACTTATAAAGAAAAGAATTTTTGCCGCAGTCTGGCTGGGCACAAATCACGTGGCTCGAGAGGAACAAACTTTATTTCTGAACTCCACCAGCACACTCCACACATGCTCCCCGGGAACTCTCCCGAACGCCACGCGGCTCCTCTAGGAACCACCAACCAGAAATCCCTCCTCCTGCACTTCCCCAACCAATGGGAACTCTCCAGGAATCCCCGTGAGAACTCCAAAGTAGCAGGCCGAGGCGGACAGCAGGGATCTAATATACACAGCTTAACATAACCATTATCATCTCAATGGCTTGCTGGCTTCACCTTTCAACCACTCCCTCTGGCAAATGCCAGGGGTTATTCTGAACCACCGCGGCTCTCAACAAGTTTTATTCAGTACCAAGCTCTGGAGACTGGAATTCCAAGATCAAGCAGCATCAGGCTGCATCATAACCAAGCAGAAAAGTAGAAGTGTTAAGTGAGTGCACAGAAAAGAGACAGAACTTGAGGGGTGGCTTCACCTTATTACAACCCATTTTCTCAGAAACTGACCCAGTCCCATGAGAAAGGCACTGTTTCCTCTAAACCACCTAATTACCTCTTAAAGGTGCCATCCCAGACACCGTGGCAAGTTTCAACACGAGCTTTGAAGGGGACAAGCCATATGCAAACCATAGCAGATGCTTACAGTCCACGGGAGAGACAGCCAAGGGCAATCACGAATCACAAGGCAGTGTTTACTATTTAATATTCTTTGGGAGGCCAAGTAGTAAAGAACATGATCTTTAAAATCAGGTTGTATGATCTCTCTATGCCTCAGAGCAAAGATAAGTGAATACAAGGGAGACATTAGCACAGCCCAGTGCTTGTCATATTAAGTACCTGCTCAATAATAAATGCTAGTCTACTTGAGTACAAGTGCCAGAGATCAACTTTTTATATTACAAAGTGGGACTTCTGTAAGACACTGGCATATATCGAGGAACTCCAGGACAATAATGCATCCATTCTCACCTGCAGAAAAGGATAAAAACAAAATCAAGACAGTTACTAGGACTCCACAAAGTGCAGTCTTGCCCCCTTTCTCTCTGCAGCCCTGATTCACTGTTCTACCTTTCTGAAGACTGGGTTTCTCTTTTCCAATCACAAGGCTGTTTGTACCCTGTCTCCCAGCCCCTGAATTTTTGGTTTATGGTCCAGCTGTACACAAAGACTGAGTGACAGTCTTACAATGCCAATTCTAAAGTTCCTGCTTGAGTTAACTAGTCATTTCCAGTCTAATTTGGGGCAAGTGGTGAGATTAAGTAGCCAAAGCATGATTGCTACATCACCCCTCTGAATTATGGGGAACAATTTCAAAGAAATAGATACGGCCCTGACATGGACATTCACATGAGTGCTGTGGTGGACATGTACCCAGGATGTTGTGGGTGGACCTAGTACGGCTTCTTCCTTCCAGCCCTCACAAAGCAGGGTGCATCCACAATGCTCAACACCTGGTCTACTGGCACATAACACTTACTCTTTCTTTTTTGTTGTTGTTCTTAGTTATACATGACAGTAGAAGGCACTTTGACACATCATACATAAATGGAGTATAACTTCTCATTCTTCTGGTTGTGCATGATGTAGAAGCACATATATGTGTTATCACATATGCACATAGGGTAATAATGTCTGATCATTCTACTAGCCTTCCTACCCCCTATCCCCTACTCTCCCTTTACTCCTTTCTGCCTAATCCAAGGTAACTATTCTTCCTTAGTACCCCCACACACTGTATTGTGAACTAGCATTGAATATCAGAGAAAATATATGGCTTTAGTTTTGGGGGATTTGCTTATTTCACTTAGCATGATATTCTCCAGCTACATCCGTTTACCTGCAAATACCATAATTTCATTCTTCTTTAAGACTGAGTAAGGGCTGGGGTTGTGGTTCTGTGGTTGAGTGCTCACCTAGCATGTGCAAGGCCCTGGGTTCAATCCTTGGCATCACATAAAAATAAATAAGGGAATTGTGTCCAACTACAACTAAAAAATAAATGTATTTTTAAAAATACTGAGTAATATTCTATTGTGGATATGTAACACATTTTCTTTATCCATTCATCTAATGAGGGACACCTAGGTTGGTTCCATAGTTTAGCTATTGTGAATTGAGCTGCTATAAACATTGATGTGGCTGTGTCCCTGTAGTATGCTGATTTTAAGTCCTTTGGGTATAAACCAAGGAGTGGGATAGCTGGGTCCAATGGTGTTTCCATTCCCAGTTTTCCAAGGATTCTCCATACTGCTTTCCAGATTGGTTGTACCAATTAGCAGTCCCAACAGCAAAGAGTAAGTGAACATAAGGGAGACATGTACAGCACAGTGCTGTCACATTAAGTAACTGCTCAATAATAAATGCCAGGGCTGGGGATGTGGCTCAAGCGGTAGCGCGCTCGCCTGGCATGCGTGCGGCCCGGGTTCGATCCTCAGCACCACATACAAAAAAAGATGTTGTGTCCGCCGAAAACTAAAAAAAAATAAATATTAAAAAAATTCTCTCTCTCTCTTTAAAAAAAATAATAATAAATGCCAGCCTATGTATGAGTGTGCCTTTCCCCCACGTCCTCGCCAACATTTACTGTTACCTGTATTCTTGATAATTGCCATTCTGACTGGAGTGAGATGGAATTTCAATGTACACATTTCTCTAATTGCTAGAGATATTGATCATTTTTTCATATATTTGTTGATTGGTTGTGTTTCTTCTTGTGAGAACTATCTGTTCAGTTCCTTATCCCATTTATTCATTGGGTTATTTGTTATTTTGGTGTTAAGTTTTTGGAGTTCCTTATGTATCCTGCAGATTAATTCTCTATCTGATGCGCAAATGGTAAAAGTCCCCCCCCCCGCCCCCCCACCCCCTGTCTGTAGGCTCTCTCTTGACGTTATTGATTGTTTCCTTTGCTGAGAAGAAGCTTTTTAGTTTGAATCCATCCCATTCACTGATTCTTGTTTTTACTTCTTGTGCTTTAGGAGACTTGTTAAGGAAGTCAGGTCCATAGCCAACATGGTGAAAATTTGACCTGATTTTTCTTCTATTAGGCGCGGGTCTCTGTTCCAGTGCCTAAGCCTTGGATTCATTTTGAGTGTTGTGCAGGGTAAGAGATAGGGGTTTAATTTCATTTTGTTACATATGGATTTCCAATTGTCCCAGCACCATTTGTCCAAGAGACTATCTTTTCTCCAGTGAATGTTTTTGGTGGCTTTGTCTAGTATGAGATAAATATGATTATGTGTCTTTTATTCTGTACCTTTGGTCTATGTCACACTTATTCTTTATATTCGTGTCTCTCTCTGCATTTTTAAAAAAATTTTTTAGTTGTAGATGGATACATTTATTTTGATTATTTATTTTTATGAGGTGCTGAACCAGTGTTTCACATGTGCAAGGCGAGCACTCTACCACTGAGCCACAACCCCAACCCTTCCCTCTGCATTCTGTAAGATACTCAAGGATGGTAAAAATGTCATAGTTCTCTTCAGATGCCCCTGTACCTTGAATGACCTTAAGTGGAGCTGCATGGAAGGACCTGTGCGACACAACCCTAATGGATTTTCCAAATGCCTGGGAAGTGGAGGAGGGTTATACAAGAGGCTGCCTTCTTTCATGAGCATCCAGAGGCTGAGGCTCCTGTTTTTAAGGCCTTCATAGAGTTTCTTCATTTACCTCCCAAGTGGAACTGAATAAAAAATAACTATGAAAGGAAGAATTCCAGACTTCCTCTTTCACAAACATAGTCATGCCTTGCTCAGCAACGGGGTGGTGCCCTGAGGAAGGCCGCTGGATGATTTTGTTGTGGCACAAATATCTTTGAATGTACTTACACAAACCTAGATGGTATTGCCTGTGAAATGCCATATGCATATATGTGTATACTGTCATATATACGTCCATCATCAGCTCAAATGTTTCGTGGTATGTGACTGCATATTCAATTTCAAGTTTTAAAAATGATGCTTTTTAAAATCAGGTTATTGAATTTGAGGGGGATGGTTGGTGGTCTTGGTCTTTTGCTATTGAGCTAGTGGAGCTCTTTCATGTTTTAGAAAGAATCCCTTATCTGTTATATAGTTTGCAAATATCTTTTCCATTCTGTAGGTGGCCTTGTCACATGTTGGTTGTTTCTTTGGCTGTGCAAAAGCTTTTTAGTTTCATGTAGCCCCATTTGTCTCCTTTTCACCTTTTGTTGTTTGTGATTTTTGGTGTCATATCCAGGAAGCCATTACCAAGGACAACGTCACATTCACATTTTTTTAATATTTATTTTTTAGTTTTAGGTAGACACAATATCTTTATTTTATTTTTTTATGTGGTGCTGAGAATCGAACCCAGTGCCTCATGCATGCTAGGCAAGCGCACTACCACTTGAGCCACATCGCCAGCCCCAACGCTTTTTTTTTAAATGGGCTAAATACTTGAATAAACATTTCTCCAAAGAAGATATATAGATGACTAACAAGTATATGGAAAGATACTCGCATCACTGATCATCAGGGAAGTGAAAATCAAAGCCACAGGAGTTGTCACCTCACACCTGTTAGGGTGACTATTAAGAAAAGCCAAATTGGGAGTGCTGGCATTGGCAAGGATGAAGATAAATCAGAGTCTTGCACACTGTTTGTGCAAATGTGGAATAGTACAGCTGCTATGGAAAACAGTGTGAGGTTCTTCAAAAAATTAAAAACAAATTTACAAAATAATCCAACCGTCCCACTTCAAAAACTGAAATCAGGATCTCAAAAAGATATTAGAATATTGTAGCATTATTCACAACAGCCAAGATGTGGAAACAACCTAAATATCCATCAGTAGATGAATGGGTAAAGAAAGTGTGATATATTCATAAAATGAATATCATTCAGGCTTTAAAAAGAGGGAGATCTAGCTGGGTGAAGCGGCCCACACCTGTAATCCCAGTGATTTGGGAGGCAGAGGCAAGAGGATAGAATGTCTCGGAAACTTGGTCAGTCCCTGTCTCAAAAGAAAAATTTTTTTAAATGAGCTGGGAGTATAGCTCAGTGGTAGAGCCAAGCACAACACCCTAGGTTCAATCCCCAGTACCAAAAGGAGAAAAGAAGAAAGGAATCTGCCGTGTTTGACGTGAATGAAACTGGAAGACTTAGGGTGAGTGAAAGAGCCAGTCACAGAAGGTCAAGTGCTGCATGATTCCACTCACACGAGGTAAATAAAACAGACACATCCGAGGATTCAGAGGGTGGAATGGGTGGTTCAGGTGTGGGTGAGACAGGGAGTTGACAATTTATAGGCACAGAGTCTCAATCATGTCAGATAATAAGTTCTTGCTGAGACTTGCTGTACGACATTGTCCCAATGTTAACAATACTGAACACAACACTTAAATTTTATGAAGAGGGTAGATCTCATGTTAAATGATCTCATCACAATAAAATAAAAAAATGTTTTTAATTCTTCTTTTTCTTCAACTCATTTTTGAAGGGTGAAGAGAAACTCACAACCACATTCTGTAGAAGGAAAGATTCTGCCCTCAAAGAGGGCGTAGTGTTAACCAGAGGGACGTGTATGAGACTGGAGGAGCGCGGCAAGGTGGACGGGCGGTTGAGCGGCAGGGAAACTGGCAGCTGCTCTTCCTCCCTCTGCACTTCACGCTTCAGACTTCTAATCCAAGCTGTCGCTTCACTTCCCAATTTCCAATTGACATCCTTCAGATGTACATTCTGGGTTGATGCCTAAGGACATTTAAAAATAGTTTAGTGCTGAGCAAAAGCTAAATATATTCCCAGAATTCCTATGCTAATCAATTATTTATCCCTTACAAATGCTAAGATCAAGAATGAAAAAAGTTGTATATCTCAGCTTGACAGGAGGTCTTAGGAGACTAGCAGGAATAAAACCTTTCAAGTCTAAAGTGAGTAAAATGGGTGAAAATGAGCTTCCCTATTCAGTTATACATTATCTAAACAAGGTAAAGAATATTCCTTTGCCACCAGTAGTTAAATGCAAATGTATAATTAATGAGGGATTTATAATTTATGTGGAATATTTTAGTCTCCTACATGAGAGTCATCGGGACTTTCTGACATAACTGGTGAATGTACTGTGGTATTGTCATACTTTACCCCTCACTTCTGTTTTAATACAAAAGGTGATAAGATACACTTAATTCCAACTCTAAGTAGTATCATTTTGTCCCTAAACTTCCTATCTTTAGATACGTCCATTTTTAAGAAGTACTTTGGAGGAGAGAGTGAAGTCTTTATTTTTTATTTGTTTATGTGGTTCTGAGGATAGAACCCAGTGCCTTACCTCTGTGAGGCAAAGGCTCTACCACTGAGCTACAGCCCCAGCCCACACATACATTTTTAATAGACTTTATTTTTCAAAACAATTTTATACTTACAGAAAAATCAAGAAGATAGTACAAAGAATTCCCAGATACCAGGCACCAGTTTCACTTATTATTAACATCTTACCTTGGTATGGTATATTTATTGCATTTAAAACACAAATATTAATACATCATTGTTAATTATTAAGTCTATACTTTATTCTGATTTCCTTAAATTTCCCCCCAGTGGTTTTTTTTTTTTTTTTTTGGTTACAGAAGATGTGACCACTGAGAGCCACATCCTGAGCCCTATTTTATATTTTATTTAGAGACAGGGTCTCACTGAGTTGCTTGGTGCCTCGCTGTTGTTGAGACTGGCTTTGAACTCGTGATCCTCCTAAGGCTCCAAGCTGCTGGGATTACAGGCTTGCATCACCATGCCTAGCTTTTTTTAAATTGCTGATGCTGAGGATTGAACCCAGTGGTTCTTTACCACTGAGCTGCACTCCCAGACATTTTTATTTATTTTCAGATAGGGTCTCACTAAGTTGCCCAGAGTGCTCTCAAACTTGGGCTCCTCCTGCTCAGCTTCCTGAATTGCTGGGATTATAGGTGTATGCTGCCACATCTGACGCCCCGATGTCCTTTTTCTGTTCCAGGATCCCACCCAGGAAAAACCATGTCACATTTAGTTGTCCAGTCTCCTCAGGCTTCTCTTGGCTGTGAGAATTATACAGACGTTGCTTGGTTTTGATCTTTTGAGTTTTGAGGCATACTGATTAGGTATTTTGTAGGGTCTCCCTCTACTGGAATCTGTCTGCTGTGTTTTCTCATGATTAGCATGGGATTATGTGTCTACCCCCACATATGTGTGTTTGGGGGAGGGAGACCAGAGAGGCAAGGACCATCCTTACTTACCACATCGTGTCACATTATGGGGAAAGGTCATCAGCATCACCCCCTGGACCTGAGGAGGTATTTGTCAGGTTTCTCCACTGTGAAGTTACTTCATTTATGTATGATATTTTGGGTGCTGGGGAATCAAACCCAAAGCCTACTTACACATGCTAGGCAAGTGCTCTACCACTGAGCCACACCCAGCCCACAAAGTCACTCTCTCCTCTCTTTCCATGCCGCACTCTTTGGAAGGAAGTCACCATGTGCCTCCACGTGAGTGGGAAGTTATGCTCCATCTTGACAGCAGTTTGTCTACATAAATTATTTTAAAGTATTCTGCATGAGAAATGTGTCTCATCTTCTCCAGTTATTAATTTATTCAATTGCTTATTTATATCACTATGAAATCATGGATATTTATTTTGAACTTTGGGTTGTAATCCAGTGCTACCTACGTTATTGATTAGATTATTCCAGCTTTGGCCTTTGGGAGCTCTTTCAATTGCCTCTTGTGCACCTTCTACATACATCCATTAATGTGAGACTTTTGTTTTTTTAGCACTTCATTACATTCCATACTACAAGATGCTCAAGGCTCATTTTGTATACTTCCTGCTATATTTAGTAAATCATAAAAGATGGCTTTCTTCCTTATCTCTCAAAGTTGTTCTGGAGCTGCTTCAGGTTCAAGAACAAAAATCTAAATACTTTAACAAAACCTGAGATAAAAACCAAAATATATACATAGGCTTCAGAGAAGTCGCGCTGCGCAGGGCTACCATCAAGGAACTGGGCATGAAAACAAGGGGCTTGAAGCGCCCCGAGGATTCGCATCCTTTCTCTACCTTCAGACCAGATCATGCTAAGACATTTAAACCAAACGGAAGGGACAAGGGCACAATAACATGCATACATGTGTTTGTGTGTGTCATTCTGCTAAGATTTTTGTCACATTATATAAATTTATTGAAACATCACACTGCATCCCATAAATATGTACAATTATTATGTGGCAATTAAAAGCCAAACTAGGGGCTGGATGGAGCTCAGTGGTAGAGCAGTTGGCCTAGTACGTGCACCATCCTGAGTTGGATCCCCAGCACCAACAAAATAAAGCAAATAAGAAACTTTTAAAATTTTTAATTTGGGCTTACAAGTAAAGGCAAAGAAAACTCACATTGGCGTGGCTAATGTAGACAAGAGCTGAGGTCCAGATTCAGGTGAGTCCATCCTAGGCAATGGGCGGCTGTGGCCAGGACCCTCTCTTCTGCCTTGGGCTCCTGGATGCTGCCAGGCCTTTCACCCTCCGTGTACACAGGGTGTGACCACAGCAGCTGCAATTCAGCTCTCACACCCTCCAGCACACCACGCTCCGCCTCTTGCTTTTGTACCGATCAGTATTGAGTCTACACCTTTCATGTCTTCATATAGATCTGTCATGCCCTGTGTGTGCCACATACCAGTTACAGGAAGTCACATAATTTATGAAACCAATCACCTATATATAGACATTTATATATGCAGTTATTTTTACTTTTCCTATTACAAAGAGCTAATGTATATTCTTGCACACAGTTCTTTATTTATATGTGCTAGTATTTCTTCTGAAGGAGAGATTCTTAGAGAGGAATTGAGGGACCTAAGGATATTAGCTGCACTCTTTTATAAAACCTTCTAGAAATAAAGATTTGACAGTGGTGAATTTGTCAGCCAGCTCTTACTTCTCCATTTTATTCACACTATTAAATACTTAGTTTCTAATTAAAATATATCATGTTGATGACAGTTCCATTACATGAGAGAGTTTTGGGAAACTTATTTTCCTTTGGTCCTATTCTCTTTTAAATTATCTACCCACATGGTTTTAGCTTTTTTTTTTCCTCTGAAATTTTACTATTCTTAGATCGAGGATGTATCTGAATGGACCCCATGTTTCCTCTAAGATAACATAGTCATTTTTCACTGTCCCCTTCCCACACCATCAGAATTGTTTTATATAGCAGTCCTTTTCATTTAACATTCTTGGGTTTTTGTTTTGTGTTTTATTTTGGCTCTGTGGATTGAACCCAGGGGTGCTTAACCACTGAACCACACCCACAGCCCTTTTTATTTTTTATTTTGAGACAGGGTTTCACTAAGTCAGTTAGGGCCTTGCTAAATTGCTGAGGCTAGCTTTGAATTTGAAATCCTCCTGCTTCAGCCTCCCTAGTTGCTGGGATTACAGATGGGCGCCACTGGCCTGGGTGAACACTCTTTTGAATGCCTAATTTTCAACAAAGCAAGTAAAGGAGCGATCTGATGCTTTGTTTTCCACAGAATGAGACCTCCAATAACGAGCAGACAGTTCAATCTTCTTTGTGTTTCCTGTGCTGGTTTTGTACCTCATTTTGGGGAAACACCACTCAATTTCACCACATGATCTGGCATGTGGATCTCCCTACCCTAATGATAACCCCCCACCCCTCTTAGCCACCTCCTCCCCTCCCAATTTCTGCTTTCCTTAAAGCTTCCTGTCTTATCCTCTGCTAGTGTGAGCATGTCTGTAAGAGGAGCACCTGTTTTTTACGGAGAGGACCTGTGAAGTACAAACAGTACTCTGAACAGGCACACCCCTGTTTCCTTCCCTTACCAGGAGTCACGTGTTCCCGGGGCACACAGGCCATTTTCCACATCTACATACAAAATGTTCATTCCGTTGGGCATCCAGGTTCTGTGTGTGGCCAAATCACCTGGTGCAGCATGATGGGTCCTTTAAAATTGTCAGGGCTCTCTTTCACTCTGCCCAGTGGCACCAGCAAGACAGGCAGGTGTCCCAGTGTCATACCACAAGGAAGCTCCGAAGTCACCAAGGAACCAGAGGTGGCATGATGAACAGTACAAGAATACCCATTTGGCACAACCCCCAAGGCCAACCCTCTGGGAGATGCTTCCCATATAAAGGGCACAGTGCTGGAGAGGGTAGGCGTTGAAGCCAAATGGCCAAATTCTGCCATCAGGAAGTGTGTCAGGGTCCAGCTGATCAAGAACAGCAAGAAAATCACAGCCTTTAACCCAGTGACAGCTGCTTTGACTTCACTGAGAAAAATGATGAAGTTGTTAGATTTGGTTGAAAAAGTCATACCGTTGGTGACATTGCTGGAGTCCACTGTAAAGCTGTTGAAGTGACCAGTGCCTTTCTTTTGACATTATAAAAAGGCAAGGTGGAAAGACCAAGATCGTCAATTTTTGATGGCAAAAACAGTAGCCATACATTTTTACATTAACAAGAGAAAGACCCATTGGACTATCCCAAGAACTGCTGTGATCCGTCTGTTTCTAACATGGGACAGACCTGCACCGATTGGTGCACTCCCAGCTTTTCATGCAGAAGGCTTTGAAACCACTGTTCACACGATCCGTCTTCCCTGGACCTCCACAGTGACTAAATCTGAGTAGGACTTGCTCTTCCCTTGGATTCACCAATTCTGAGACCATCAGCTCACTTCAAGGAATTTTTTTCTCCTGCTAGCCATTCCTCCTATTATTAAAATATTTCCTATATTTTCACAGAGCAGAAGTAAATGTTTAGTTTTGAGAAGCTTCACTAATCTCTGCATACCACTTAGACATCTGTGCACATATATGATATGTAGCTATTAAAATGAGTCCTTTGGGGCTGGGGTTGAACGCTCATCTGGCATGTGTGAGGCAGTGGGTTTTATCCTCAGCACCACGTTAAAAAATAAATATGTAAAATAAAGGTATTGTGTCCTACGACAACTAATATATATATATATATATATATATATATATATATATATATATATATATATTTTAATATTTATTTCTTGTTTTAGTTCTCGGCAGACACAACATCTTTGTTTGTATGTGGTGCTGAGGATCGAACCTGGGCTGCAGGCATGCCAGACAAGCACGCTACCACTTGAGCCACATCCCCAGCCCCTAAAAAATATATTTTAAAAAATTAGTCTATTGGTCTGGGGTTGTGGCTCAGTGGCAGAGTGCTTGCCTTGCACATATGAGGCACTGGGTTCGATCCTCAGCAACACATAAAAATAAACAAAATAAAGATATTGTGTCCATGTATAACTAAGAAACATTTTTTAAAAAATGAGTCTATTACAATGAAGCCCAGTCCAAGGAACCCTTATCAGGAATAACGCAATTTCAATAAGTACCAGTTTTCAAAGTATGACTTAAAGACCCCTGGGTAGTCCCAAGACCTTTCAGTGGTCACAAAATCAAAACTATGTTCATAACAATGCCGAGATATTATTTTCTTTGTGTGTTTTGTCATCACAACAGATTGAACTCAGAAGCAGATATGAAAACCCAGTTACACATTCAATTAAGTCAATAAAGAGATTTACAAAAAAGTGTAAAACAAACAACTTTTTTTTTTGGTAGGGGGGGAGGGGTGGATTGAACCCAAGGGAGCTTAACCAGTGAGTCACATCCCCAGCCCTTTTTCATTTTTCATTTTGAGACAGGATCTCACTAAGTTGCTTAGGGCCTTGCTAAATTGCAGAGGCTGGCTTTGAACTTGCAATCCTCCTGCCTCAGCCTTCAGAGCCTCGGGGATTATAGGTGTGCACCACCTTGCCTGGTTCCCAACTCTTCCCACTAATAGGTTGTTTTAGAAAATGGGGTTTGGGGATATTTTTGCTTGTCTGTCTTTGTGGGATTTATTTTGTTTGTCTGTTTTTGTGCTGGGGATTGAACCCATTATTTAGTACAAAATATTTTCAACAAAATATTTTTATGTTGACATGTTGAGTTGAACAAATAGATAAAATTTCGATTTCTCAATTTATAGTATAGTAAATATCAATAAATATAATTGACATTAAAGCTCTTTGTGTCTTTACATTTTTTTTTTTCAATCTCTGGGGATCCAATCCAGGGCCTTGTGTATGTGAGGCAGGTGCCGCTACCACTGAGCTACATTCCTAGCCCTTTAGTAACTTTTAAGAATGTACAGGGTTTTCCCCACATAAATACAGTTATTTCACACTAGACAAAGGTGCCAAAAATATACATTGGAGAAAAGCAAAACTATACATTGTCGATGAGCAAAATGTGGGGGAAGGATACATATGTGGGCCTCTCTACAGCAGCTAGAATTAAAACCCAAACAGGGACGGAGACCTTAAAGGAGAACACTGAACGCACCTGCCGGAGACTCTCCAGGAACGCAGAAGCACATCTGCTATTTTAAAACAGAGAGAGTTTAGTGCAGGGAGTTGGTCACACCACTTACGAAACGTGGCGCTACCAAACAGGAGGCAGGTGCCACGCCGGGTAAGAGCAGAAAGTCACCGCACCACCCAGGGGTTGAGGGGACCCAGCCCGAGGTCGCCGGGGAGGCTGCGCTGTGCAGGAGGTCCGCAGGGAAGGAGAGCCGGGGAGGCAGTGCGGTGCGAGAGCCTGGGCCGCTGGCGTCCTCCTCCAGCTCCTCACTGTCCCTCTGGCCTCCTCCTGCTGAACCGAGTCAGGAGCCGGCAACCTGGAAAGAGCAGGTAGGAGCAGTTCGCGGAGGTCCGCCTGCCCCCACCCCATCCCCCCCTCGGTGCCCCCCCCCCCCGCCCCGCGAGGAAAAGCCAGGGGCAGAAGGAAAGTGCAGTGGAGCGTCCCGGATCCCAGCAGCACGCAGAAGGACCCTGAATCACAGACACGTTCAGAACACGGGGACTGAGACACCCATGGACACACAGGGCCAGAGCCGGCCCGAGTAAGGTGGGCGCTAAGAAATGGGCGAAACGGGGAGAAACAAGTAAGAGCAGGGTCCTGCAGGAGCAAAACAGCACAATTAACCAGCCCTGAGACACACGATGAAGTGGAGGAGAAAGAGGGAAAAGGAGAACAACAACAGGAAGTGGAGGTGAGAATTATCCAGAAGGGAGTCCTCATTTAGCCATAATTTAATTTCCATAAAAACAGAAATGTGCTTTTTCCTGTGATCTCAGTGACTTAGGAGGCTGAAGCAGGAGGATCATAAGTTTGACACCAACCTAGGCAACTTACTGAGACCGTTCAAAATAAAAAATAAAAAGAGCCAGGGATGTAGCTCAGTGTCAAAGCACACCTGGGTTAACTCCCCAGTACCAAAAAGAAAAAGTTAAAAAGTCATACTTACAAAAGTGTGCCTCACCTCATCCCTTTCACCTTATTTTCATTCCCTTCTTTTCCATCCATTTCCTTTTCCTTTTATCCTTCGTAGATAATCAGTCTCATTAATTTCTGATTTATTCTGTTTCTTTTTGCCCAAACATGTATATTTTCAATGATTCTTTTTTCCTTCTTTCTTATGTAAAAGCTGACAAGCTATAGATGTTCCTTCCACTGATATTTTCCCACACTATATTCTGGAAATCACCCCAGTGCATAGAACTCTCTGCCATCCTTTGTTATAGCTGCATAATGCTCCATTTTCTGGTGGTAGCATTTTGGTGGGTGTGTATGGGGGATTGAACCAGGAACATTATACCTCTGACTATATCCCCAGCCCTTTTTAAAATTTTTCTTTTTAAGGCAAGTTCTCACTAAGTTGCCAGGTGAACCTCAAACTTGTGCTCTTCCTGCCTCAGCCTCCTAAGTAGCCAGAATTGTAGGCATGAGCTACTGTGCCTATTTTATTCAGCCACACTTCTGCATATGGGCAGTTAGGTTACTTCCAATATTTCATAGTTATAAACAATGGTGCAACATGCTTTTTTCATATGTTTTTGCAAAGTTGAAAGTATGACCATGAGGGCTGGGGCTTTAGCTCAGTGGTAGAGCGCTTGCCTACCACGTGTAAGGCACTAGGTTCGATCCTCAGCGCCACATAAAAATAAATAAATAAAATAAAGGCATTATGTCTATCTACAAGTAAAAAAATAAATATTAAAAAAAGAAAAAGAAAGTATGACCATGAAGCAGGATACTGAGTCAAAAGGTTAATAAATGTACTACTCGATTAGATATCACCAAATTCCCCTCCAAAAAGATCATATAATCACATTTCTACCAACCATTTATGAGGGTTCCTCAGACTTACTTTTAAACTAGAAGTGACGTTTTCAGAGCATTAAAACTGAAGTACTTTCAAACCATGTTGAAAGCCCACACAATCAACTATGCACTTAATGGATTAAGCTGGTTCAGTTGACATGTAATCTTCATTAGGAACAGTGTGGGAAATAAGAAAATCTTTTAGCCTAGAACAGCTACTCCATTGTAGAGCCTTTTTTTCTCGCATATCGATTTGCTGTGAGGAAGGATCTACTTTGTAGTGAAGGAAGTGGAATGGAAGAGGGAGGTGACCTACATATGGCTTTGGATATTTGGGTTCTCATCATGGAGGGTGCAGTGAAAACAGAGGTTTCCTCCCCTCCTTCTAATCATGCTCCGCTCCAGGCTAACCATATGGATTTTGATGTCATTGTTGAAATCTGCTGCTATCCATAGCTTTCCACAGAGCCTATATGTTTTGAAAGAATAGGTCTCTACCCCTGGATCTAGAAGAGGGACATATGATTCAGGACTAAGCTAACTAACCCATGCTGGGTCCCTGGTCGTCATCAATGTCTTGGGTATGTTCACACCCTAGAAGAGCCAGGTAGAGACTATGCATCTTACAAGAGAAAAGAGAAACACTGCATTCATGTTTGCCTAACTGAGCCTCTCAACTAAAATAACCTCGAAGCCTATCCTACTTCTGGACTTTGTTTTGTGACTCAATAAATGTCATTTATTGTTTAAACAAGTAAATGTGGGGTTTTCTGTGACTTGTAATTAAAACCATTCTGATTTATATAGTGAGCGACTTTGGGATGACTGATGAAAACATTTCATAAGAACATGCTCATGTCTTTGCATAAAGCTTTTCCACCCCAGAAGTCCATGAGTCATCTTGCCGCTGATGGCTAACTCTACTACACTCACGGGCCAGCGAACAGTGGGGATAGGTTCTAAGAAGTGCCGCTGTTAGATGATGTATGTCACTGTGTGAAACCAGTCTACGTACACAACTCTGATTGGGGAGAGAAGGTCTGTGCAAAAGGAATAGTTCTAAGATACCAAGTATTGAATGAGATCATAGACGAGTACAGCAGGAAAAATTTCCTAGTTAAAATAATCACTGCCATCCTTTGTATTAATTAGTATCGTGCTTTGGGGCTGAGGTTGAAGCCTAGTGGTGGAGTGCTCCTATAACATGTGGGAACCCCTGGGCTCCATCCCCAGGCACCACCCCCAACACACGGTATAACACTTCAGTCTCCCCTTACCCACTCCCTGTGTACCAGAATGGACCAAGGATGGTTTTCTGGGTAAGGATTTTAGTGGAGCCCGTGGGCAGGGTGACATTCATTCTGGTACTTGACTTGGTTGTGCACCTTAATTTTTCACAAGAAGACTTTCACTTGGCTCAGAACATGACCCTGATTTCTTGCTTTCCAGAAAAAAACAAGTCCCCAGACTAGAATTTTTCAATGTCTTAGAGCGTCCTACCTGCAACTTACCTGCATCTGCACCCGCTCTTACCTAAAGCTGATTTCCACGCTTTCTCCATTGGGGGCTTCCTGAGATGTGCATGTGTGTCCCCGAGGATTGGCCCCGGGAGTTCTACTGCTGAGCACAACCCGGCTCTTTTTATTTTGAGACATGGTCTTGCCAAGTTGCTGAGGGTGGCCTCGCTGGTGTCACAGGCGTGTGCCACCGTGCCCAGCTTGAGATCGCGCCCTCATCCACCCAGTCCCCCAAGCGCCCCCTGCCAGCATGTAGACACACCCTGGTCTTTTCCTTTATAAAATACAAGTTATACACCATATATGTATGACGTGCCGTGTGCAACTAACTAGAATAAAAATTCAAGACTCTTCCTTGATCACACACGCACGCACGCGCACACGCACACGCAGTATCAGGTGGTGTCTCCTCCACAGCCAATTGTTTTCCGGCCAGGCCTATTTACGGAATCCCCTGCCCCTGTGGTCTGCGTGTTTTCCCCACATTCTTTTAACCCGTCACCATCTTGTCAACCACGTAACACAGCCCAGAACTGTGCCCGTTGCTCATCTGTGAAACGCCGGTGGGAGAACGGCCGCCTGCGTGCGGGCGGCGCCCAGGCACCGTGTGGACCCTGTCGCGATCCTTAGTTCCGCTCAGACCGCAGGAGCGTCAGGCCAGGGGGGAAGCGGAGGGCCGACCCCGCGGCTCTGCGCGCGGCCAGGGCGGAGGCGGCTGCGGGAGAGCGAGTCTACGGCCGCAAGCGGGGCCTCCCCGCGGCGCGCAGGTGCTGCGGCCGGCCGGCGGCCGCTTCCTCCCCGCGGACCGGCGGCTCACGCACATCTGTGGAACGTGGGCACGCGCCACGCGCTAACGGAGGGGCGCCTGGGGCCACAGTGACAGCTTTTAAATTCAGCTTTTTTATTTACTTTCCCCAGAATCAACCGCCAATTTCACACACAGCCACCTTAGCCTTAGCCTGAGTGGACAAATTCGGCTGCCTGCTCCGTAGTGCATTTTAATAGTTAAGAAAATCAAATACACAGGACACCAGTTTTGCCTCTCAGAAAGGAGCCCAAGCTCACGTCTGAGGAGATAAAGGCACCAGCCGACTTCCTGTCTCCCAGGAGACAGGAGGGCGCGGCGGGGGCGCGGGAGGATGACGCCACCCGGAGCGCCCGCAGCCTCACTGCGCAGGCGCTCGTCGCCCTGGGGTCAAGGGCCGGCGCAGTGCGCACGGGAGTTCTCGTCCTGACTGGCTGCATGTCCCGGGCCGTCGATAAATGGCCTCGCAGGCGGGAAAGTTGAGTCTCCTGTGCGCCAGGCCTCCGGGGCGATGTGCAGTGACTTCCATAGGGCTGAGTCTGGGACCGAGGTGAGAGTCCCGGGCGGGAGCGCCGGGCGGGCGGGGCTCGCGGGCACTGGGGGAGGCGCGCCCGCTCCCTCTCCCCGCAGCCCCGCCGGCTCGGGCCGGAGTCCGCGCCAGGCGGAGGAGAGCTGTCCCCACTGCGCGCGGTGCCGGGCCGCTGCAGAACCCCCGCGCTCCGCCGCCTGGTCGCGGCCCCAAGCCGCCGCAGATGAGCCGCTGTGAGAGACCGCTCACTGGGCAAGGGAGCGAGCAAAAGGCCTTCCCGGTTGGAGCGGCTGGAGGCTGTGTTGGTACCAATGCTGTCTCCTTAGTCCCCTGCCTGTGCTCATGGCACCAGGTCCCTGTTATCCCCCTACGCTCCAGAGCCACACGAGCCGGTTCAGGCCCTGCAAGAACTTATTCACGGATCAAACCTAGTGTTGACTGCTTACTTGTGTTAACCAGTGGCCAAGTGGTAGGAGTAAGAAACAGAAAAAGACAGCTTCTGCACCAAAGAACTAACTGCCTTAAAATTTACGGTACATGCAGTAAAAGCATGCTGTTCAGTAGAGGGGCTGGCTTCATGGAAGACTAATTGCAGGAGATGACTGAAGCCTTAATGACCATTTGAAGTGACACTGATACCGACGGTTATCTATCCGTGACAAGTTCTGCTTCCTCACATGTTGAAGTTTGAACTTTAGAGAAGCACGCAGAGGCAAACAGGGTTTAGTTTAAAAAGGGGACTTCTCCCAGGAGGGAGAAGGGGACCATTGCTGGTATCCCAAGAAGTGAGGTGTTCTGCCCTTTTTATATGTCCTAGGCTGTCTTTGTTCTGCCCTCTTCTGTGTGACTGGGCCTAGGAAATGCTGAATGAGGTGACCAAAAGGTGGGAACAGGTGGGCTGAAGGGGGAAGGGCAGGATATAGCAGCCAAGGACGCAATAATTGCTGAATTAAAAGTTGCAAGTGTCTGCCTAGTTTTGGTTGCTATGCATGGCATAGTGTTTTTTTTTTTTTTTTCTTTCATTTTACTAACCACCCTGTTATTAAAGTAGTACATGTTCATTACAAAAAATTTCAATAGTACTAAAAAGTGGGAAACTTCTACTTCCACAACCCCATTTACCAAGGATAACCCTGTGAATATTCATATGTTTTTCCAGAAGTTTTCTGACAACATATTTTGGAAGCCAAGATGGATAGTGCTGGACTTGGAAGTTCAGAGACTTTGGTGCTAGTCTTGTTTTTGCCAGGAACAAGCTTTGTGATTTAGGATATAATTAAACTCTGCTTCTACCTTTGTAAAAGAGGGTGGAAGCCTGCTTTCCTATTTTCTTTTAGGCTCTGCCTCTAGGAGGTGGTTTCTATATTTTGTGTCCTTTCCACTAAATACAGTTTTGTATAGTAAAAATAAATATTGATAATGCTGACTGATTTTCTTCTCTTAAATACAGGATGGCCTCTTTGCCAGAGGCAAACATTAAATATGACAAATATCTAACATTTTAAAGTAGTAATTTTTTTTTTTTTTACAATCATAGACTTTTAGAACAATGCTTATCACCTCCAATCTTTGCTTTCCTTCTCATCCAGAACAGAACCCACGCTCTGTTGTTACAATCACTCCATCAAAGAGGCTGTCAGTTTCCTTGCTTCTTTTTACCTCTACTTAAGCTAACCATGGTTAGGCATATTGTCACTGTGTCTCTGCCCATTCAACTTACTATTACTAGAGAAAATCATAACTCGACAGACACATTTCACCTTAAATTTATAATTATTAACTTCAAATGGGTACCCAGTCCAACTGCATTTCCTAAGTAATTCATATTCTCACTATAGAATGTATCTTCAAATCTGACCTTATCCCTGAATTCCAAATGCATATATTCTATTTTCTTGACACAGCCACACATGTATGCTTCCTAGGCTTCCCAAACTGAACACACTCATCCCTGGTTGAATCTTGGCTCCAGGAAAACTTTAAAGAAATGTATATCAGAGAAGAGTACTGTATGTAATAATGAGTGTGACAATTGTAATGTGGTTATGCTGGAGAATGTCTTTTTTGAGGAGATAGATATAAGTATGTGAGGGGAAGTGGTTCAGCAAAAGAAAAAGCTCAAGCAGATTTGGTGAAATATTAGCAACTAGTGAATCTAGGTAAAGGGATATGGGTGTTCATACAATCCTAACAGTTTGTAGGTTTTAATTTTTTTCAAAATTAAGAAAATGGGAGAAGCTAAAAACTTGAAACTACATTAATTAAAACTAAACTGCATTATCCGAAGTCTTGATTTACCACCATACGTATACACTCACACCTCAACCTTCTCCTCAGATCTTCCTGTCCCATAAAACGGCAATTTCATTCTACCTGGAGCATAGCCAGACAACTTGAATTGTCCTAGAGTCTGCATTTCTCTTGGATCATTCCACTTCATCAGAAAATCCTATCTGCCATACCCTCAACACTTCTCTCTGCTTTACTGCAGCCATTCCTAAGCCCTGTCACTGCAGCCTATTGTATTGCAGGGGCCTCCTGCTGACCTCTGGTTCCACCTTTCCACTTACCCAGTGTGTACTACACAGAGCACCTCTGATCTCCTCTCCTGCCTTTGTGATTTTGTCTGCTACTTTCTCCCTCATTCTTCTTTCTATATTAACACTAAACACACCCGACATTTTGTTTCATTTTTATGTTGTCATCCTTTCTAACTCCCAACCTTGGCATAGAAGGTTCTCGAGAGCAAACTTGGCTACCTGTTGGGTTGGTGCCATGTCTGGCACAGTATTTGGCCTACAGTGGGCACTCAGTTATTAGTTTATTCCTTTCTCTTTCTTCCCTCTTCTTTCTACCTTGCCTCGTGTCATTGAGAGAATACAAGACATTTCATAAGAACTCCTTAATTTTTCCTATAGTCTTTCTGGTACTAATTTCTAGTTTGTTTCCATTATGGTCACAACACACTTTTTATGATTTTGATTGTTTGAAATTTGTTATGTTTTAAGGCCCAGGATATTTTCTGTCAATGAATTTGTTCCATGAATGCTTAAAAAAGTTGTGTGTTCTGCTGTTAGTAGGTGGGGTGTTCTGTATGTGAGAGCCAGTTGGAGTGTGTATCCTTGCTGATTGTCTATCTGGTAGTCCTGTCCATTGCTGAGAAGTCAGTGTCCAAGTTGCAGCTGAAATTGTGGACTTGGCTTTCTCCTTTCAGCCCTGTTAGTTTTGCTGCAGTATCTTGAGGCCTAGTTGGATACTTCTTTATGGTGGCTTCATCCTTTGTTATGTAATCTCCCTCCTTGTCTCTAGTCATTTTCTTTGCTCTGAAGTCTACGTTCCTGCTTTTTCACCTGATAAGCTCCTCATCCATTCGCGTGTCCCACGGATCTTGGAATAAATTGGGTGCTCCGTGGGGATCAGCTGTTGCGTTCCTTGGCCGCCTCCTGGCAACAGTGGGAGAGTGGGTGGTGGTGTCACAGTGGGGAAGGTGTAAGGGAGCAGTGACAGGGAGCCCTCCGGAGGTCCCCAAGGGCAACACGTGACCCAGAGTGGTCCCAGGGGAGGAGGCTGGGTGGGGGGCAGAAAGGCAGACCTTGTGCCTGGCCTGACACTGATGGTGCCCGGTCACCACTTTCAGAAGGGAACCCTGGACAGAGGAGCCACAAGCCCAAGCCCATCCTGGGGGGACACCCAGAGTGGCACGAGGAGGCACCGTGTCGCAGGCCCCGGGGGCAGTCAGGGTAGAGCTGTGGGTGCCTCCCCCAGAGTGGCTTGGGGGCTGCCGCTTGGTCCCTCCTCTGAATGTCCCTGCCAGGGCCTGGCTCTTGCCCTGGTGAAGCTTTATCCTCTCTAGGCCTTCGGCTGCTCAGGACTGTCCCTGTGAGCGTCCTGACCCAGGGACGGGCCCTTCAGCCTGCCACCCTGAGCTCCCCAGGGCTGCTGAGCAGGGAGCAGGACCACCTATGGGTGGGGGAGCTGGGGCGCAGGTGTGGGCAGGGGAGGGTGTGTGGCCAGAGCCCCCAGCCCCCAGGAGTGCAGGGCTGGCTGGGAGGAGCCGTTTTCCGGGTCTAGTGTTTGGAGTGAACCTTTCAATTCCCATCCCTTCAACTCGGGGTGTTGGCTCTGTCCCCCTTTCTTTGTGATCCCCGCGGGGTTTCCATTTGACGTGGGTCAGAGATCCCAGTCTGAAGTGAATGGAGGGCAGCCTCACTTCCATCCTGTACTAGATGCAGACCCCCCCTCCCCCTGGGTCTCTGATGTCACAGAGCCACCCGTGTGTTCCTGGTGGTTTGGTACCGCAGACCCTCCACTGAGTGTTTTCTTCTGAATTGGTCCCTTCCCCGTGGACAAGAAAAGTGAGGCCAGCTTTTGTACTTGCCAGGAACTGGCCTTTCCAGAAACCCCTGTGTCTTCACCCATCTCTGAGTCCCTGCCTAAGGTCCTTCAGTCCACCACCAGGGACTCCTGTCCTGAAGGGCAGGTGCAGGGGAGACCGAGTCCCTTGCCTTTGGTTTCCCAGGGCCGTGGTTTGAGGAGTGTGTTTCTCCAAAAGTGCTGATGAAACTCCCCTCCCTTTGAGGGTGTGGTGTTGTGGTCCTTCAGGAGGGTGAGGCCCTGGGGCCCTGGCTTCCCAAGGGGATGTGCGCCTCAGGGCTGGACCTCCTCTGGCCAGCAACTAGGCCCTGGTTCTACCCTCTGCACCACACATGGTCGCGCTTGGTCTCAGGTGTGCTCATGCACACACACACACACACACACACAGAAACACACAGAGACAGACACAGACACAGAGACATGTCACTGTGGGCAAGGTGGTGACTGCCTTTCTACTTGTGGGTTGGGGAGGCCGAGCAGGGGCATTGGCAGTTCAAGACCTGCCCAGGCCAGTGTGTGAGATCCTTCGTCAAAGACACTAGAAAGGGCTGGGAAAGTGGCTCGGGAGTCGAGCGCTGGCCTCACATGCGTGACCTTGGGGCCTCCATGACTATGACCAAGGAGGATAGAAGGGAGGAGAGCAGGGAAAGGGACTGAAGGAGCCCAGTCCTCGGCCTTTCAGCCATGTGGTGTGGGACACGGCTACAAGGTCCCTCGCTGGAAGGAGAGAGCGAGACCTCCCTGGACACCCGGCCTCCTGGTGCCTGACACGTGGACGCCTCAGGTCCCAGAGGGGGGAGCAGTCAGTCTGTGAGGTTCCCAAACAGCCAGCTCAGGCTCTATGGACAGAGCAGGGGAAGGGACCTGGGTGACAGGGACGCCTCCATCTCTCTGCACCCCAGGAAGGGCACCTCTGGCCCTAGGGTTCTCAGCTGGAAGGTTCGGTCTTCATCGCTGGAAGGCGACCCACCGTCTCTCCTGTGGGCTGTAGGGAGGGTTTTGGTGAGTGACCTGATAGGACCTTGTGTGGCAATGATGAGGCAGGCACCCTGCCCTGGCCCCCACACCCCACAGAGGTCGGGAACGTGGCCCTGGATCTCAGGGGGCAGAGCGACCCGCACTAGCGTCCTGGCGTGAGGGGACTGCTACCACGCTCTGGACACCAGTCTGTCCGAGTTGGAGGAGACAGGCGCTGAATGGCTCCAGAGGACCTGGGGTGGGGTCTTCACGGGGCGAAAGCCACGACAGAGTTGTGTACTGGCGAGGCACGGGCCCCGGGGCCTGGTCCAGCTCCTCCTTTCTCAGCAAGGAGAGGTCGGGGTCCCGAACACACGGGAGCACCGAGGTTCCACAGACCCTCCTTGTTCTGACCAGGAAGGTGGCCAAGGTCCCGGAGGCCCGAGTGGGAGATGCCACCGTGGGCCACCCCCATGTGTGAGTGGGCCACTCCTGGCTGTGACCTCACAGGGGCCAGCATTGTGAGGCCCTTGAGCCAGCGGGGATATAAGGCCGGGTCGAGGCTGGCACCTTGTCCACAAGCACAGGAAGCTCTAGGCAGTGACCTGTGGGACTCCCATAGTTAGCGCGTTTGGTGGTTGGTGGTTTGGTGGTTCTGGTTGCGGTCTCTGATTTGGGGCTTTCTGTTGGGCTTTGTTGTGTTAGTTTTGCTTGTGTTCTTTGCTTTGTTTGTTGTGTTTGTTTTTAGCTAGCGGGCTTAGTGGGCGTGGGGCGGAGGATGTCCAGAGAGAGCAGTGAGCGTAGTGTGGTGCGGAGGGTGTGTCGGGACCTCGCGGCCAGCTCCTCCTTGGAGGAAGCCCTCACGGGCCGCTATGAGCCCTTGGGGGTCGTCGGGCAGGGCAGCTTTGCCAAGGTCTTCCTGGCCCGACACATCCTGACGGGGACGAAGGTGGCCGTGAAAGTCCTGCGGAAGGGGGCGGGGGCCACCTTGTCCTGGGTCTTGTCGGAGCTGGACATCATGAAGGGCTTGGAGCACCCGCACGTGGTGCAGCTGCTGGAGATCGTGGAGACCCCCGGCACTGCCTACGTGGTGATGGAGCACATGGCTGGGGGCCAGCTGGGCCAGCACATCCCGGAGGTTGTGGGCCTGTGGGAGGACGAGGCCCGCATGCTGTTCGGGCAGGTGGCCAGCGCCGTGGGCTACTGCCACGCGCAGGGCATCGCGCACCGGGACGTGAAGGCGGACAACGTGCTGCTGGATGCCGCGGGCCGCGCCAAGCTGTGCGACTTCGGCCTGGCCTGCAGGTTCAGGGCCGGAGAGAAGCTGGGCCTGCTCTGCGGCACCGTGGCCTACTGGGCCCCGGAGCTGCACCGGCGAGAGCCCTACGACGGCCCCGCGGTGGACGTCTGGAGCCTGGGTGTCCTCCTGATCCTCATGCTCACGGGCAGCGTCCCGTTCACCGGGGCCAGCTATGAGCAGGCCAAGGAGCAGGTGCTGCAGGCCAGGTACCACCTCCCGTTCCACCTGTCCGACGAGGCGCAAAGCCTGGTGTCCTGGATGCTGACCCTGGAGCCCGCGCACAGGCCCACGCTCCAGCAGATCCTGGGGCACCCGTGGCTGAGCCAGGATGGGGAACGCTGCCCGAGTCCTCCCGCCGAGCTGCTCCCCAAGCGCGCGGACACCTCCATCCTGCTGGCCATGCTGGACCTGGGCTACGGGCTGCAGGAGACCTGGGTGTCGGTGGCGACGCGCCAGTTCAACCAGGCCATGGCCACCTACCTCCTGCTGGGCCACCAGAAAACCTGGGGGGCGGGCTGCCAGGTGCGGCTGCAGATGCCTGGGTGGCCACAGGTGGGGCCTTGCCCGTCCCTATGCATCCCCTCCAACTTGACTCTGGGCCCAAGGTGGGGCGTCAGCAGGCCGGCCATGCGCTCCTGGCCCCTCTCGGCCTGTGAGCAGCAGCAGCAGCAGCAGCAGCAGCAGCAGCAGCAGCAGCCTGAGGAGCTCAAGCCTTCAGGGCAGGTGGGCAGCAGGAGAGCCAGCCTGCCCGCCATCATGCTGTGCAGCCTGTCGGCCAGCGTCCCTGCTCCCGGCCCCACGGCCCCTCTGCCCGGGTCCTCCCAGGCCCTGGCACCGGATCCCAGCTCCTCCTCCACCGCGCAACCCCCTGCTGGCTCCAGGACCCCTGGCCTGACCCGTGACACCGCCAGGGGATGGAGGGGAGTGGTCCGGAGGATGGCCACCTGTCTGGCGAGGCTGTGCTGCTGCGTGCAGGCCCCCAGGACCGGCTCCGGACGCTCCAACAGAGTGGCTCCCGCAGCTGGAGGGCCCGCGCCACCACCAGCACCCAGGGACCCCCCGGGACCTGCCCCCACCAGAGGTCAGGCCCTCAGAAGATTCTTCAAAAACAGAGTGGCTCCCCGGCCAGCGCCCAGCTGAGACGCCCACGGAGCCAAGTAGGTGGAGCGGTGCTGCCTTGGGTCTCACGTGTGCCTTGATGAGTGTCATTTCCAAAGGATGAATGGACACCCTCTGCCCTTGGGGGGTGCCACCAGGGTTAGGTCCACCTGGGCACCACAGGGCGGGCGACTCTGACTCCTAGCCCCTCTCATTGTCCACAGACAGGTGGCCCGGGTTCTACCTCACGAGGGCCAGCTGCTGGAGCGAGATGTGCAACCTGCCCTGGCCGCCGCCTCCCGGACCCCTCAGGCAGGAGGACACCCGAAGACACCCGGACACCAGTGGGCCCCTGCGCCCCACCCGGATCCCACCTCAGGGACTTCTCCTTGGACACGTGCCCCGCCCTGCTCTCCTCTGCTCTCTCTCTCACCCTCTGGGGCAGAGATGCTTCCCAATAAGCTCCTCATCCATTCGCATGTCCCACGGATCTTGGAATAAATTGGGTGCTCCGTGGGGATCAGCTGTTGTGTTCCTTGGCCGCCTCCTGGCAACAGTGGGAGAGTGGGTGGTGGTGTCACAGTGGGGAAGGTGTAAGGGAGCAGTGACAGGGAGCCCTCCGGTGGTCCCCAAGGGCAACACGTGACCCAGAGTGGTCCCAGGGGAGGAGGCTGGATGGGGGGCAGAAAGGCAGACCTTGTGCCTGACCTGACACTGATGGTGCCCGGTCACCACTTTCAGAAGGGAACCCTGGACAGAGGAGCCACAAGCCCAAGCCCATCCTGGGGGCACACCCAGAGTGGCACGAGGAGGCACCGTGTCGCAGGCCCCGGGGGCAATCAGGGTAGAGCTGTGGGTGCCTCCCCCAGAGTGGCTTGGAGGCTGCCGCTTGGTCCCTCCTCTGAATGTCCCTGCCAGGGCCTGGCTCTTGCCCTGGTGAAGCTTTAACCTCTCTAGGCCTTCGGCTGCGCGGGACCGTCCCTGTGAGCATCCTGACCCAGGGATGGGCCCTTCAGCCTGCCACCCTGAGCTCCCCAGGGCTGCTGAGCAGGGAGCAGGACCACCTATGGGTGGGGGAGCTGGGGCGCAGGTGTGGGCACGGGAGGGTGTGTGGCCAGAGCCCCCAGCCCCCAGGAGTGGAGGGCTGGCTGGGAGGAGCCGTTTTCCGGGTCTAGTGTTTGGAGTGAACCTTTCAATTCCCATCCCTTCGACTCGGGGTGTGGGCTCTGTCCCCCTTTCTTTGTGATCCCCGCGGGGTTTCCCTTTGACGTGGGTCAGAGATCCCAATCTGAAGTGAATGGAGGGCAGCCTCACTTCCATCCTGTACTAGATGCAGACCCCACCCCCTCCCCTGGGTCTCTGATGTCACAGAGCCACCCGTGTGTTCCTGGTGGGTTTGGTACCACAGACCCTCCACTGAGTCGTCTGAATTGGTCCCTTCCCCGTGGACAAGAAAAGTGAGGCCAGCTTTTGTACTTGCCAGGAACTGGCCTTTCCAGAGACCCCTTGATAGACCCAACCTGATCTTTTCTTAAAATTGGGCATCTCGCCACAAACCCATGAAAAGATAATTTCGGCTTTACTATAAATTACTGCAAATTCTGAACCTACTTGGAATGCCTGCCCATGCCCTGAACTCACCCATGTCCGGTTTTCCCTGACCAGATAACAACCCTTTCCTAAACCTTAGTGACGCCTCATAAATTCTGGCCTTCCCTGGCTGGATAATGACCCTTTCTGAGTCTCTAAGATCTCCATAAATACTGATGCCAGGGCCAGCAAAAACGTAAACTTGTATTATGCTCCTCAGAGTGTTGTTATCTGTAACCCCCCTTTGTGTAACTTTTTGGGCTATAAACTGGGCCGCAAAGAAGCCTCGCCGCTGTCCTTGGCTCCCACGATTTTGATGGGCAAGGCAGCCCGGCCGGTCGTAACAATAAGCTTGCTTTAATTTGATTTTAATTGGAGTCAGTGGTCTTTTCTTGCGTCCTGGTCTAACACCCTGTGTCTTCACCCATCTCTGAGTCCCTGCCTAAGGTCGTTCAGTCCACCACCAGGGACTCCTCTCGTGAAGGGCAGGTGCAGGGGAGACCGAGTCCCTTGGTTTCCCAGGGCCGTGGTTTCAGGAGTGTGTTTCTCCCAAAGTGCTGCTGAAACTCCCCTCCCTTTGAGGGTATGGCGTTTCGAGCCTTCAGGAGGGTGAGTGCCGCAGTCCGGCTGCAGCAAAATAACCGGGAGGTGACAAGCAACTTGTGTACATTGATACAGCAGGAGTGGGAGCCGTTTATTGTAGGACAGGAGGGGTATATATACATAACTAATTCCACACGGCTTATCTTAATTAACAAACTAGATATAGCAGTCAACCAATAAGGAATCATCATCTTAATGATTACACACAGCTTAACATAATTGACATAATCTAGACACAGCAGTCAGTCATTAAGGAATCTCTATCATCTTAATGGCTCGCTGGTGTTACTTCTCAAACCACTCCCTCTGGCAAGATGCCAGGTGCCATCTTGAGTTGTTTATGGACCCTATCAGGTGAGGCCCTGGGGCCCTGACTCCCCGAGGGGATGTGTGCCTCAGGGCTGGACCTCGTCTTCATCTAGGGGTGGGCCTTCAGCTACCCTGAATTCCAAGGGGTGCAGAGCACAGAGCCACACATCCTGAGTGTCCTGGGGACAGGAGGCATCAGGGATGATGTATGGCCTGAGACACAGCGTGGAGGGGTGGGGGAGGGCAGGAGCTGCTCTCCAGGCCTGTTCCAGGTCCCCAGGTCCCAGGGTGCCTTCTTAGGCCCTGCATGTGTGGACTGAGAACCCATCGGGCAGCTGGCACCTGGTTCTGATGAGCCTGAGGAGTGTCTAAGGGCTAAGCAATGGCAGGCCTTGCCTGGGGTGGGGAGCAGCTGCCCTTCTCCTCCTCCTTGGTCCAAGCTCAGTTCAGATCTGAGGAGCAGGGGACCTCTGGAGGACGCAGCTGGGAACCAGGGGAGCGACTTGAGTTGCAGAGATGGTGGCTTCATCCTTTGTTATGTAATCTCCCTCCTTGTCTCTAGTCATTTTCTTTGCTCTGAAGTCTACGTTCCTGCTTTTTCATCTAAGTTCCTGCTTTCTCATCAAATCTCTATTGAAAAAAAATCTCTCTCTCTCTCTCTCTCTAGAGAGAGAGAGAGAGATTTTATATACTGATTTTCTTGAATTCCCTCCCTTTAAAATAGAACAGTGAGTGTTACTCCTGAAAGTGGCTTCTCTCCTTGTGGTAAGGCTCTCATCCCTCCACTCTCCTCCTCAAGGACATCACTCCTACTGTTACTCCCACTCTTATGGTCATTTTTTGTCTTCTGTATCTTCTACTTATCAGTTTTTTTCCTGTCAGGATCCCAATACAGTAGGTAAAAACAAACCCAGGAAAGACCTCCCTTGATGCCATACCCCTCCTAGTTCCATTCCTGTGCTCCTTGAGGCAGCAATTATTTCTACTGCCTCCACTTTCTTGTCTCACAGTCTTTTTTTTTTTAATTGCATCATAGTTACTCATAATTGTGAGGTTCACTTTAGCATATTTATAGTTTTCTCCATTTGAGCCCCCAGTACTACCCTTTCCTTTCCCTCCCCTCCTCTCCCTGTCATAGTTATGAGTGACATTTGAGTTTCTAGTGCAGCGTCTATGTCCTCTTCATTATGGACCCCTCACTGTTGATCACATTACTCCTTAAAAAAAATAATAATTCTTTGGGGCTGGGGATATAGCTCAGTTGGTAAAGTGCTTACCTAGCATGTACAAGGTCCTGGGTTCAATCCCCTGCACCACCAATACCATCTTTCTCTCTCTCTCTCTCTCTCTCTCACACACACACACACACACACACACACACACTCACAGTTCTCTTCACTCTTTTTTTTTTAACCAGAGATTGAACTCAGGTGCCATTGACCACTGAGCCACATCCTGAGCCCTATTTTGTATTATATTTAGAGACGTGTCTCACTGAGTTGCTAAGCACCTCACCGGTGCCGAGGCTGGCTTTGAACTCACCATCCTTCTGCTTCAGCCTCCAGAGCTGCCCGGATTACAGGTGTGAGTCACCAGGCTACTTCTCTTCCCTCTTAAGAACTTGCCTTTGTTAGCTTTAGGACCGAAGGAACCTAGGAGAATGTGTCCTTCATGCAGGCAAGCTGTCAAAGAGGAAGGAGCAGATCAGCATATGTCTTAATTCCTGCTGTTAGTATTGCCCATTAGAAGAATCCTTTCTTGGGGACATTAGAGAGAGGATGGGAGAATACACCAGAAGTGTTTGTCCAGCGAAGTTTCTGCCTTACAAGTGGAAGTGGGATAGTGGCATTTGGCTGTCAAAAGCTTTTGCAGTTTTGTTTTTGTGCTTTCCCATCTCTTGCTATGAACTTGCATATAGTTGATTTTCTGTGCAAATGAAGTTTTGAAGCAGAGTGTATACTTCCTGATGGAATCTTAAGTATGCACTTACTGGAATTATTAATTTGTTATAAATTCTTAAGTTTAAACTTTGTTCTTATAAATTCTGTTAGAAATTAATACTGCTTAATTAGGTATGTATAATAATTTGTGCTTGACTTTTTATGTATCTGTTTTTCATTTTCAAATAGTATTATTTCTCTTTAAAAAGTAATTATGAAAGCAGCAGTCTTTCTAGGAATATACTTAGAAACAATAAAATTTAATCATGGATTATGAAATAACAGTTGCTCTTTCCGCATGGTTTAGACCAATGCTTGATTCAAGGGTCAAGCCTAATCCTATGCCCTGAAGGGTATCTGAATCAGAGTGACTGAGGAATTGTCCTCTGATTCTAGGGAATGTCCATGCTGAGGACCAAACCTTATCTTGATTATATTCATATTAACACTTCTTCCACTTGCCTTCCTATTCATCCCAGCTGCTTCTCTTATGCATATAACCTTGTGTTACTGTTTATATACATATTTTTCTTAAAGTAATTTCCTCTGCATAATCAGTAGTAAAACTACTAAGAATTGATTCAGCGGGGCCTCTTATAGGATAGGGTTGTGGATATTTGATTTAGGATGTTTGCTTTTTTCTGGGTATGATGCTGGGGATCAAACCCAGTGGCTGTTGCATGCTAAGTAGGTACTCTACCACTGAGCTACACCCGCAGCTGGATGTTTGAGACTACCGCAGGGGTCCATCTGCAAACAGATTTAATCACCAAAGGTGAAGGGAGAGGGGAATGAGCCTTTAATCAGTGAGTCTTATATACACATTTGCCTTAATGTCATTCCTGGTTCATTTTAAGTGCTCTTCTTGCTCTAGTATAAGCAGTAAAGTGCTTCCTTTAATGAAAAGGTGTTTCCATAACTAAATTAGGTTTAAAAAAATCTATGTGATATGTGTTCTATTTAACAGGCATTAAAGATACACTCCCTCTAAAATGGACTTTTGTCAGTGTGTATTAAGAACCTTGACGATAGCCATAAGAATACTTCTTGATTTTTATTAAATAGATGTTTGCATAGATTA